TCCAGTCTGGTGTCCCTGCCATGGTTTTGCAAAAGCAGCCGCAGGTTTCCCCCTCTGTTAGTGGAAACACTCACACAGATAGGAGGTGAAGATGCCAAGGCGTTGGCGTGGAGATAGGTTTATTCTCAGTGACTCCCAGGGGCCAACTTTGAGAATGACTGCTCAGGTCCTCGCAGTAGCACTCATGATTTGTGTCACTCATTTGTGACTTAGCTACACACTGCTGTATGCTGTTAGTCACGGTCTGTTCTCTTATTAGAAACTTCATCATTGATGTGGTTGTTTTCCCGACAACTGATGAAGTGCCTGGTAGGAGCGACAAATTTTGTTGGCGATCAACTGTGCTTAGTGGTGCACACACACATGACACTCTTACGTTGCCATCCCAGACGGCTTTGCTTTTTGCTTGTGTTACTACAGAAGACAATGGTCTCTCAGTGAGTACATTTATTCAAAGGAAGGAATGATACACAGCATGATATGCCATTATTTTCCAAATGGTTGACATCATTGGCAGTCATGTTCAGACCTACGACATTCTATTTTATCTAGCCTTCGCTGGCACTCGGGACACAATGCCACATACCAGTGGTAAGAATTTCAGTCCAGTTTGCAATGAACTTAAAGTATTACACTCATTAGCACCACCAGAGGGCTAGCTGCTAGGAGTAAAGTGCTTGTCCGATATTTACGGACAAGCTGAAAAGTGCAGCCGAGCTTCGGGTAGATTATTAGTTCATCTCTTTTGGGCCACACAAGACTTCTTGGATATGAGAGACAGTTCGCTGCTTGTGAAATCCTATAGTTACCTCCTATCCAAAGCAGTGTGCCTGGACTTTTCATTTTTCACACACTGAGTCTGCACCGTGGAGCAGCATAATTAGCATTTTGTAATTGTTACTATAGTGTGACAGGTTTAGCTTATTCCAGACTAGTCTCCAAGAATGCCTTGAATAGCCAAGAATGACCTTGAATTCTTGATCTTCCTGTCTCACCTCTAGGTGTTGCCATTAAGGGTGTATACCCCCAAGCCCAGATAGCTTTATCTTTTAGCCTACCAAGGGAATCTGAATTGTCAGCCAACTGATTACTGAGACCAATATTACATTTCTGGTGTGAGATACACTTTTTCTATGGACAAATTTGCTGATAATCTAATACATATGTGATTTGGTTATAGAGAATGATACTAAGAGAGTAGAGAAGCATATACAATGTGCATTCTTTAATGTAATTATAATTTAGATTCAAACTCACTGAGTAGTAAATATATTCAAGCATATTCCCCAGTGAAGTGGCATGTCCAATGTCATTATTTCATTGGTAATCTCTTCAGAGAGGAGATATGGCCAGTAAGTTAGCCTCTAGCCACACTTTTGATGTGAAGGTGATTAGTACAACTGAGCACCTTCAGGTGTTTTGTATGTTAGCGCGCACAAGGGATTGAACCCAGGGTCTTGAATGCTCTACCACTGACCTTTGCCTCCAGCCTGAGAATCTTGATTTTAATTTTGTTTAGTTTTAATTCTTTTAAATTTAAATTTCAAAATAGATTCTTGAGTCAGTTACTAGAAAACTAGAGAAAACTAGACAAACTTGAATATGTTAACTTATTTTCACAATGTAAAGTTTTTGAAATCAAAATACTGATTAAGTTTTCCCATTAAATTTTAGGGATAGTGGTGCACACCTTTAATCCTAGAACTCAGGAGGCAGAGGCAGGCAGATCTCTGTGAGTTCCAGGCCAGCCTGGTCTACAAAGCTAGTTCCAGGATAGTCAGAGATATTACACAGACAAACTCTGTCTCAAAAACCTCTAAAATAAAAAAAATTAGGATCCGCTGGAGCATCTGCTCAGTGGTTTACAGCATTTAATGTTCTTGCAAACAGAGGACCTGGGTTCAATTCCTAGCACCCACATGGTGGCTCACAACCATCTATAATGGGAGCTGATGCCCTCTTCTGGTATGCAAACAAACATACAGACAGAGCACTCATATGCATAAAATATATAAATCTTAAAAAAAAAATTAAGAACCAAACTGAGATGTGCTGTGTATGTAAAGTTCTCATTAAGGTTTCAATGACTTTATGTGACACACATGAACGAACATCTCAATACATCTTTATACTGATTACATGTTCATGTAATGCTGTGGGATGGTCTGTATGTCAAATATGTTGCTCTGATTGGTTAATAAATAAAACACTGATTGGCCAGTGGCCAGGCAGGAAGTATAGGCGGGACTAACAGAGAAGTGAATTGAGAGAACAGGAAGGTGGAGGGAGACACTGCCAGCCACCGCCATGACAAGCAGCATGTGAAGATGCCGGTAAGCCATGAGCCACGTGGCAAGGTATAGATTTATAGAAATGGATTAATTTAAGATATAAGAACTAGATAGCTAGAAGCCTGAGCCATTAGGCCAAACAGTTTAAATAATATAAGCGTCTGTGTATTTATTTTATAAGTGGGCTGTCAGACTGCCGGGGCTTGGCGCGACCCAAAGAGAAAACTCTCCAGCTACAATGTAAGTTACTTTTTTTCTGTGACCAAACACATGGGAAGAAGCAGATTAAGAGAAAAGGGTTTATTGTGGCTAACATTTGAAGGGGATGCAGTCCTTCCTGGCAGGGATGTCATGGCTTCAGAGCATGAACGGGCTGGTCATATTCCACTCAGACAGGAAGCAGGAAGAGGTGGATGCTGATGAGCAACTGGCTTTCTTCTTTTTTCTTCCTCCTCTTCTTCTTCATCTTGTTCTTCTTCTTTTTCCTCACCCTCCCCCTCCATTTCTTTCTTTCTTTTATTTTTTGATATATAGTTTCTCTGTATAGCCCTGGCTATCCTAGAACTTGATTTGTAGACAAGTCTGGCCTTGAACTTTGAAATCCTCCTGCCTCTGCCTCCCGAGTGCTGGGATTAAAGGCACGTGTCACTACCGCCTGCTGGCCATAGTACTTTCAATAAAGAAAATTTTCACCTACACTAAGGTCTTTTTCTTCTTATTTGCCCTTTCAGACATAACTTCCATGTTATATCCTTATCATCTTTATTTTGTTGATATCTGATACTAGATATTATACTTTAATAATATTCTTTTTTCAAAACCTTGATTTGTAAATATTGTCTCTAGTAAATTGCCTTAAGTGAATTTTGAAGTTATTGTATAAATTTTTATCTTTCCTTCAAATTTATCATACTGAGATTTAGTTTATATGATCTTAAAATTAGGAAGAAAAGGAACAACAAAAATACACGTTCACACATGTCATAATGTTCTCTAACATCATATGCTGATTAAAATAATATAGAGAGCAAAAATTAAATAAATAACTGAGGATACTGTATTAGTTACTAAATAAATAAAAGTTAATTGGGGGACTAGACATGTTTGTAACTCTCAAATTTGTTTAAAGAGTGTTAAAATGAGAAGATTTTTTGTCTATGCATTCATTCTAGACACTCTCCATAATTAGTATTTTGTAAATATTTAGGACCTTTCACAATAACTGTATTTATTTATTTATATAGCTGAAGTTTTCCTGGTCCTGCCCAGCTCCCCCGGCCCTGTGGCTGCTTGGACTCAAGTAAACACAGAGGCTTATATTAATTAAAACTGCTCAGCCATTAGCCCATAATTCTTATTTATGTTTAGCCATGTGGCTTGGTACCTTTTCTCAGTTCTGCCTTCACATCTTGCTTCCTCTGTGTCTGGTTGGCGACTCCTGACTCTCCCCAGAATTCTCTTCTCTGCTTGTCCCACCTATACTTCCTGCCTGGCTACTGGCCAATCAGCACTTTACTTAATAACCAATCAGAGCAACACATTCACAGCATTCAGAGTGATATCCACAGCATATTTATTTATTTATTTACCTATTTATTTTTTTGTAAAGCTGTGTTTGGGCATTGTGGGACAGAAGAGAATATACTTGGATTAAAAATAAGTAGAACTATGGCCCTATTATGCTGCTTGAAGGACATAAAAGATATCTAAATGGGCAACTCAGAAGTGGCCTTCTTAAGTGATGAAAAGCAAAACAAAAACAGAGGACAACAGAGGAAGATGAGGAAAGACTCATCAAGGGAAAGTAGGGAAACAGGCATAGACATGTTCACAGCACAGAAGTCCAGTGGGGACAGCAGTTTTTCTCTGCTTACAATCCTGGGAACCCAACACCAATGCCACTTGGTGCTGCACCTGCTGGGCCAGCTCTCTGCAATTGATTGGGTGAGTCCCCAGCCAAGAATGCACTGTTTGTGAGTAAACTGAAGTCTTCAATTTAACCACTAAAGAGCTAGTGCAGAGTTATTTTAATTTGTGTGTTAACCCATGAATGGGGGTAATGAAAAGAAGGAAGGCTTTTAAGTTACAAGCCTAAAATATATAGTTTTTCTTGTAAAAATGTATGGATTAGTTTTGAATGACAAAGCCATGTACCTATATTTTCTACATGTAATTAGTTTGCTTATACACAGAAAGTATTTTCGAGTTTGTTTCTCATGCTACGTAATTTGACATTATTCATTTGATTGATAAAAATGAATTTTCTTCCATTTAGCATTTCTGGGCAACTTCTCACTGAAAATCCTGGTTATTTAGAAAGAGAAAACATATGAGCTAAGAATGTCCACAGAAAGAAATTACTAATACTTAGATGAATGAGGAAAATAACTCAGGTGACTTTACAGAGACGCCTAAAGAAAGGTCAGGCAGTATAGTGGTTGGCTGCTAAGGTCCTGGCGAGTGCAGAGCCCCACATTTCTTCCTGAAGATGGCAGTATGTCAGTGGTTAAAGCAGTGCTAAGTAGCTGAAAAACTGTACAGAGCTCTGGAAGTTCTACACAGGTGTCTTTTTTGGTGGAAAAGTCCCTTCAACAAGGCTTCCTGAGTCCTGCTTCGAATCTCGTCTGGAGGGATGTATGATACTGGCCTGCTGATCCATGGATGCTGAGCGTAAGTACTACAAAGTAGGATAGCATTTTGATTCCTCAGGTACTTGGAGGGAAAACTTTGATGGCACTGCAGAATGAAAAAGAGATTCATTACTCACTTCAGAATCTAGAACAGAGTGGCCAATGTGGAGAGAAAAGGAGCAAGTGGATGTGTCTTGGATCTGCTGCCATCTGGAACAGGTGAGTGACTTGTTGATCAAGGCTATGTGAAAAGCCGAGCTGAATTTCCTAAGTGTTTGATACAAATAATAAACACATAAATAAAACCTTATCCTTGTCAATAATTAGCATGCCACCAAAAGAAGTAAGAGTGTTAACAGGTTTGGGGGATGAATATAATAGTAATAAAAATGAAATGAATGTGACACGTTTTATGAAGCAAATTCTAAGAGAAGAGTCTGTATACACACACACACACACACACACACACACACACACACACACACACCCACACACACACACACCCACACGGGGAAATGAGTCCACAACAAAAAAGCATGAATGAGTAGAAATGTTATGGAAAGATAAAGTTGGAATTATCTCTGCTGTTTAGTCTTAATATATTTCAAATACCCAATAAACATTAGGAGTGTTGATGTTCAGGGGTTATTTCAGTATTTTATTTGGTTGGCCAATGTCACATTAAACTGAAAATAGGCTGATTGGTTTGTAGAACCATCTGCTGGAAATATCTCGATTGTAAGTCTTCCAAAGGAACTGGAAACAGCAGAGTTCCAAGTAATGCTTCTGGTTGTGGTCGTCTGGAAGTTGTCACCAACAATGGAGGGAAACTGGTTCTTACGGTAGCAGCAGTATGATATTTTTTACTGTTTACAATCTCTGTAAAATTCTCTTGGAAACAACATATTTCTCCTTCAGTTTTTATATTAATGTAGTGCTATAATATACCCCCAGCAGACTGTAAATACTTTTATGTATAATTGCATCAACTTTAACATTCTGTCTGCTCTAATTATATAAAGTGAACGCATTTACATTGACAGTCTACTTATGTGTAAGGTCCTTCAGAGTTTTACTAATTTTTAAAGATCTCAATCCTTAGAGTTATAGACCTTTTGGGATATTTTCATCTCTCTCTCTCTCTCTCTCTCTCTCTCTCTCTCTCTCTCTCTCTCTGTATGTTTATGTACACTGGTGTGTGGATGCACTCACGCATTGAGGTTCTTGTAGAGGCCAGCGGCTAACATCAGGTGTCTTTCCCATATTTTGGAGACAGGGTTTCTTCTTGAATATGGGACATGTTGTTTTGACTATACTGACCAGTTAGCAGGAGCCTGAGATCTGCCTGCTTCCACCCCAGTGCTGGAGTTACAGGAGAAGTCAGCCATGCCCTGCTTTTATGTGAGTGTTTGGAATCAGAACCCAGGTCCTCAGGCTTTTGTAGCGAGCTCTCTACCCACTGAGCAATCTCCCCCTCCTCCAGGCATTTTCTTACACTCCACTCCCTAGAGGATGAAGTCTCTCTCATGGCATCCTAAGTACTTACTGGACTCCATCTTTCCTTGTCTTCTTGATTGTATAGTATTGATGTCTACTGAATTGATACCACATTATTGAACTTAATTGTTTGTTTAAAGATTTTTTTCTCTTCTTTTTTTTTGGTGGGATTTAAATATGGCATGCCCAGATGTAGTTTTTAATTTTTCATTTTAATTTTTGACATTTACTCTGCTTGCTGTGTTCCAGCATCTCTGAATCCTTGGTACAGTGTCAGACATCAGTGTAAGGAACAGATGTCTGTCCTGATTGCTTTAAGTAGTTTCTCTCTATTTCTCTTGTTTAGGTTGCACACACACATCACATCTTTTGCCCTTGACCCTTGGTTTCTTGGACATTTTCTTCTTCTTTGCTCTTATTTTCCTCTTTGCTTTTCTGTTTTGTGAGATCCTGTTGGCCAAATCTCAGTCTCAAGATTCTTTCTTCAGCTGTGCTGACTCTGCTAGAGCTCCTCTCCTTCTTACCTGCAGTGTTCCCTGATTTGCACACTGTACAAGTGCTTTAATTTCCGGTCTGATGATTCCAGCTTATGTTTCCTATCTGACTTCCATATGATGCTTTAATTGTCTTTTTAAGTGGTGTTTTGTGTTTAGCACGTTTTACTGATTTTTAATTAAAATCTGCACTTGGTAGTCTTAGTTAGGGTTTGTGTGCTGTGAAGAGACACCATGACCATGGCACCTCTTACAATGGAAAACATTTAATTGGGGCTGGCTTACAGTTTCAGAGGTTTAGTCCATGGTCATCAAGGTGAGAAGCATGCGGCATGCAGGCAGACATGGTGCTGGAGAAGTAGCTGAGAGTTCTACATCTTGGTCCACAGGCAGCAGAAGTAACTGTGACACTGGGCATAGCATGAACAGAGGAGATCTCAAAGCCCACCCCTACAGTGACAGTGACATACTTATTCCAACAAGGCCACACCTCCTAAAAAGTTCCAGTCCCTATGGGCCAAGCATTCAAACACATGAGTTAATGGGGACCATTTCTATTCAAACAACCTTTCTTAGTTAGGGTTTCTCTTGCTGTGATGAAACACCATGACCAAAAGACAAGTTGAGGAGGAAAGGGTTTATTAGGCTTACACTTCAGCATTGCTGTTTGTCACTGAAAGAAGTCAGGATAGGAACTCAAACAGGGCAGGATCCCAGAGGCAGGAGCTGATGTGGAGGCAGTGGAGGAGTGCTACTTACTGGCTTGCTTCCTATGACTTGCTCAGCCTGTTTTCTTACAGAACCCAGGACCAACAGCCTAGGGATGGCACCACCAACCATGGTCTGGGCCCTCCCCCACTGATCACTAAATGAGAAAATGCCTTACAGATGAATCTCATGGAGGCATTTCCTCAACTGAGGCATCTTCCTCTGATGACTCTAGCTTGTGTCAAGTTGACACACAAAACCAGCCAGTACACAACCACATTGTGCATGTTGTTAAAGAGACTGCAATAAATATTCTTGGAGAGAAAAGTGATAAGGGTGGAGAACAAAATTGTTCTGTCATTCTCTAGTTTAGCTCCCACCTTTTGATGAATTAAACTTTTGGGTTGTACACTTCTCTCTGGCTTCTCAGTTTTATGTTTACCGCTGGCTTGGACAGGAGGGCAAGAAGGGGCTGGTGTGAGGTTTCCCTTCCTATGGAGAGGGTCAACTTTGATAAAAACCCATCATATTGGACTCTGTTAAAACGTTTTCTCTTGAGGACAGGGTTTGTTAAGATGAACAAATGCTTTCTTATCCACTCTCCTGGCCACAAGCACAAAGATTTTTCACCAATGTTCATGTGGTTTGAAAGAAAATGGTTCCCAAAGGGAGTGGCACTATTAGAAGGTGGGGCCTTGATGGAGGAAGTGTGTCACTGTGGAGGCAGGCTTTGAGGTCTCATGTATGCTCAAGCCACACCAGTTTCGGTGAGCACTTCCTGTTGCCTGCAAAAAGATGTAGAAACTTGGCTACTTCTCAAGCACCATGTCTGCCTGCATGCCACCATGTCACACCATGATGGTAATGGACTAAACTCCTGAAAACGTGAGTCATCCCAACTAAGCATATATATATTTAAATAAGAGTTGTTGTGGTCATGATGTCTCTTCACAGCAGTAGAAACCCTAATTAAGACAATTCACATGGTAAAATTCTTGGGGGTTCAACTCTCAGATGTTCCTCTGCAAGTGAGCTCCTCTGGAACTTCAACCCTCAGACTTGTGGAAGCCTATGCTGCTATGGGCTTCCTTACACTGCCTCTGTGTTTTTTTTTTTTCTCTTGTAAATTCTCATTCTCTGAATTTGACAGTTTGTGTCTCTAATTTTCAGGGCAGTGGTTTGCACTGTGGCCTCAGAAAAAGTTGTTGAACTTATGGTTGGGCCTGCTTTTTATTTTGTTGTTAGGGAGAATCACAACTTCTAAATTCTTTGCATGCAAGACCAGAGTTTGGAATTTTTCAGTTCTTTGCAGTTTAGTCACAGATACACTGGGAAATTGAAGCAGTAGTCATGTAGCCATTTAATATCTACACCGACCTTTTTTTGGAAGACTTTTTTGGAAACAATGTAAGTGTGATGTAATCCTACAGTCCCTTGGAATATGACAGAAGAAGAGAAAAAGAAGTACAGTGTAATTCTATACTCAAGCTAGTAGGTAAATTCTGAGATGTGAAAAGCAGTTTTAAAAATCATTCACTATTTGCGTTTATTTATGTATATTAGTATGCACAAGTATATGCACATATGGAGACCAGAGGTTGATATTGCATCTTCCTTAAACACTCCCCATCTAATTGTTTTTTTTTTGGGGGGGGGATAGTCCCTCACTGAACCTCACCAATTTGACTAGATTAGATGGTCAGCAAACCCCAGGGATCTTTCCATTTCTGTCTTTCCATACTGGGATTATAGGCTTATGTGGTCAAGCCTGGTTTATGTGTGGGTGCCGGGGATCTAATTCAGGCCCTCATGATTACTTGGTAAGAACTTTCCCAGCCAAGCCATCTTGCCAGTCCTCAATCACTCACTAGTTAGAGTTTTTGTCTCAGTCTTTTGTACTGCTGAAAGAGAATACCCTAGACTGATTGTAAATAGTAGAAGCTCTTTTCAGTTATGGAGGGTGGGAAGTTCAAGGACTCAGGTGGTTTGGTTGTTTGCTAAGAGTGCACACTGCTTCTGAGATGGCACCTTGATGCTGCATTCAAAGGTGAGGAATGTCCATGCTTGTGTGACAAAGGTGGGAATTAAAAAAAGGGAACAAACTCCTTGCAGTGAGTTCTCTTACAGGGCATCAATGTGTTCAAAAGGCTAAAGCCTTTGGAGTCTTAACACCTCCCAAAAGGTCCAAACTTAGAACTTTGGTGTGTCAAGGATTTAATGCCCAACACATCACTTTTGTGGATCCATTCAGACCATAGCAGCTTTGAAGCTATAATGAGATGTGACTGTAGATACAACTCCAACCATAAACAAAGTGTACCTGTGCCCCATTTGCACCCTGACTTTTGTCTGGCACCTTCACTCTTAGCAGTTTGGAACTCGGTAGGAGAAATATGATAGGCACAGCTGACTACATTTCTCTTTTCTTTCTTTGAAGTACCACAAAGATTTTTTTTCTCAAATAACAAAATGTTCCAGAACTATTTAATATTTTACCAATGCAGTTTATTTTTCCACATG